AGACCTGACCCAAAGTTAGCATCTCTTTATCTGTGTGTACCCCATGTTGTAACCAAAATGGCATCACCACACCCAACTGCTCATTCCAGAAGTTGTTGAATTATACTTGAGTCATCTCTGAATAAGTCATTCCAGAGCCTCATCCCCACAACCAATCCATTCTCAATTCATCCTAAATTCACATCTTCCCATAGTCCATGTCACCATCTTTAATTTCCTGAATTTCTCCAACAGCATCCATCCTGGTTTTCTTAATTCCATTTTTGCCTGCCCCATCCATTGTCCTCACAATAATTAGGTTATTTTATATATATTTTTTTTTGTTTTTGCAAAACGTAAATTAGATCACACTTTTCTTCTACTGAAAGCATTTCAAGCCTCCCTCACTTTACTAAGGTAAAATCCAAGATAGTCAATAAGATCTTGTCTATCTTTTCACACATACAAATGTGTACTATGATCTCCATTTTCTTTTTTTGGTAGGCATTATTTACTTTATTTTATTTGTTCCTACTTTTATATTTGACCAGAGAGAGATGGAGAGAAGAAAAAGTGAGAAAGAAAGCTGCCAGCTCCAGGACTCAAACCATATTGGCCCATTGGGAGTCCAGAGCCTTAACTACCACACCACCTGCTGGCCCCTATTGTCTCCCTTTTAAAACAGAAAACTGAAGCGCACAAAGAGAGTAAACAACACCTATGTCTTAGAGGTGGGAATGTCAGGGATTGATTCCCACACTCAAACCCTGCCAATTATCCTGTATTAAATAACCCCCCTAATAATATACAAATATCTGTTTAAGAGAGACCTTGTATCCAAGGATGGGAGGAAGGGAGGGCAGGGATTCAAAACTAGAAGGTGAGAGAGTACTGTGGTGATCAAGACTAAGTTCTTTATGAATATAGAAGAGTCACTGAAGGACACAGCATCAGAGAAGATACAGGAATTTGAACTTGGCAGGAGATATAACAGGGAAAAAAAAATTAAACAGGGATAGGTCTTGAACAGAATCATGTCACTTGCAGCCCTTAGTCACTACTCCCAATCTTTACCCACTTTTCACACCATCCCCTAATTTCACCACTCCAGTCTAACACTGACCCTGATAAATCAGGATGGGCAAAAAAAAAATGCCTGGTGGTTAAAAGCATTGGACTCTCACATGGCTGTCTGTGTTTCAAGTCCCAGACCTGACGGCTTGCTTTTTTACTTTCTCTTTTTCTCTGGTCAAATTTAAAATAATAAAAATAAATATAATTAAATAAAATAATTTTTAAAAGGATGGACAGTTCTCTGTTTAAAAAGAAATCCTGTGATAGCAAAATATATATGAAATCCCTCCTGACCTGGTTTGTGGACAAAATCAAGGAAGAGTAGATAAGTCAGGTATACTTCCCACACACAGACACACCTTAAATAATTAAAGATTTGTTATATAACACATGGGAGCTTTTGGGCAAGTAATTACTGTACACTTCAAATGTAAATAGACTTGGAATATGAAATACACCTATACCATAATTCTGCTACCTTATATATACATGAGGATATTTTTCCAACTGTAATACCCATTCAACACTCAAAAATCCGCTTAGTGTATGAGGGTAAACATATTTTAATCACTGCAAGAGACTCACCATAGTAATTATTTGTTTCTTAATAAATTTAAACACATTAATTTTCACACTTTAGATTGCATTACTAAAAAGAGTTGGTGGTGTTGGGCTGAAGAATGTGGGCTGGGAATGTTGATGGTCATCTTGACATTAAGAGCACCAGGCCCCTGCAGCCCCGAGCTCCTGCAACTGCTGGACTTGATACAACCTGTAAACACCCTGCCCCAGGTCCCTGTAACTGCAGGGTTTTGCAAGCTTCAAGGCAATTGAGCAAACAAACAGGATGTGGACTGAAGGGCTGGCAGCGACCCTTGCACAAGAGTTGTAGGGTCTGCTTCTGCTCTCCCCCCTAGAGCCTTCCCTTGCCTATAAATCAGGTCATAGAAACTTACTGACTGCACGTCCTCATTCCTTCCCCTGCTTACAAAAACACCTCTCACCCCAGACTAGGTGTCCTTGCTAAAGCCTGCTGCGTCAGGTATTTGCTCGGACCCCAGCTAGCTGGACATTAAAGCCTCTCTTGTACTTACATTGTTGTTGTCCTCTCTGCGTCACTGAGGGCATGATCGATCTCTGGACCCTAACAGTGGCCTGTAACAGAAGTAACTATATTAGAACTACAAGAGTATTAAGTTACTTATTAATGTCATTGACTAAGTGATCCACATACGAATTTCCCCATTATCCCTGAAATGTCAAACCAGGATTTAATAAAGAACCAGGATCCTGTCTCTCACTCACTGGATAGATGTCACTCCTCTCTCTTCAGGTTCTGGTCTCCTGGTAACAGGACTTTCCATGTGAAAACACAGGAAACTTCACTTTGGTTCCTAAGTCAGGATCGCAGAGCCTTGTGGGTGGTAGGTTCAGAATTGATCTAATCCCAGGTGATGCAGAGAGGACAACAACAATACAAGTGTAAGAGAGGCTTTATTGTCCAGCTGGCTGGGGTCCAAGTGATTACTGATGCAGCAGGCACCAACAAGGACCCCGAGCCTGAGTGAGAAGTGTTTTTATAACCAGGGAAAGAATGAGGAAGCACTGTTGGTAACTTTCCATGGCTGACAAGGGGGGCTCCAAGGGGTAGAAGCAAGAGCAGACTCTGCAGTTCTGGTGCAAGGGTCGCCTTCACCCACATCCTGTTTGTTGCTCAATCCCTTTGAAGCTCATTGCACTTGTAAAACTCTGCAGTTACAGGAATTTGGGGCAAGGTGTTCACAGGATGTCGCAAGGTCAGGGGTTGTGGAGGGCTCGAAGTTGCAGGCGCCCAAGGCGGGAAGCATTTTGAGCCTATACTTTACATGCCAGCATTCCAACAGTGGGAAATGTAGTCTCTGATCCGGTTACGTCATTATCACAGGCCAAGGAAGGCGGCTTTTTTGTGCCTGTGGCACTTTGTTCCTTCCGCGTGGCTGGGTAGAACCTGCCGCTGTGCTGACCGTGCTCTGCCGGACACAATGTCCATGACGGTGAGTCTGAGTGTGAAGGAGGAGGGTTGTGGGTTTTGAGGACCCTAGTAGTGGAGAGGTGCTCCTCTTCCTTGGTGGGAGCAGAAATGTGGGGGGATGCTGGGTGGAGGAGGAGGGGTGCCTGAGGGAAGGTGCAGCCCCTGGTCCGGGTTGGGTGGGGAGAGCGACAGGAGCGTCAGGGTGTGCAGGTCTGGGGTGAGGAAAGAGTTGACCTGGGCTTTGCTTTCAGTAGCTGCTTTGTTAGAAGGTGGGTGTGTGCGTTCAGGTGTACAAAGGTGACTTCAGAATCTCTGGAATGGGTGATCCAGTCCAAGCTGGGCGGGGGCGGGGGTGGGTGTGGGGGTGTTGGTCGGTTTGTTATATTTTGAGAGAGAAGAGGACGTGAATCATATCCAAGTTATAGGAGTCGTTATTACCAGGAACTGCCGGAGCTCTCATGTCTCTCAAAGATCCTGCAGCCCAAGTGTAGGGAGAAGGGTGCTTGTAAAGGCAAAAAGCACATTTGGGTTGATGTGGGGGGAACAGTAACCACTGAGGAGGGGGCGGAGAAGAAAGGGAGAGGGGCTTCTAATGGAAAGCAGATACAGAAGCCAGATCCAGGAGGTTAATAATTACTAAGGGCACTTTACAGTTTTTGCTTTAACACAATAGGATCTTAATGGTCTCATGGCTGGAGCAAGGATTCTAAGAACTTCCTAAGGTATGGAGTTTTGGGTTATTTAGCAAAGACAGTAGGAATCTTAATCATTCTGTTTACACAAAAAGGAGGAAGCAAGTTTTCAATAATAGAGAGTTCAAAATGGAGGTTCTCCTGCTTCACGTTGAGGAGACAGGGGGTCCAAGGGCAATGAGTTGAGCTTCCAGTTAGGCTACAGGGTCCTAAGGAGAGAGGAGTAAGCTCTCTGGTTAGGCAGACAGGGTCAGGAGTCCACAGGAGGGAGGAAAGGAGACAAATGGAGTCAGTACAGTCAAGCCTTTCATAAAAATTATTCACTGCTCTCAGTAGAAATCAGATATCAGCTCTCACTACTTACTTGTACAGAAAGCTGCTTGCAACCTGCTAGAGATAATTACAGCTGAAAGTACCATTGTTCATATCATTGCTACATTCCAGATGAAAAATGTAGTCTCTCTAGGTCTGGATAGCAGTAGGGGGAAGGACCTTGAACCATACACTCTTCTTTCATGTTTCAAAAAATTTATGAGCTCTTGCTAATGAGGCTAGAATTATACAAACTGGCTGTAGTCCTGAGCACACTGTCCAAGTCA